TTTTTTTTTAATTTCATTTCCCAAACCCTTAGTTTTTTTTTCTGTTTGGTTTGGTTTGGCCAATTTTTTTTGCCAAAAAAAAAAAAAAAATTATTTGGATTTAATGTCGGCGTAGGAAACGAAAATAAATAATAAAAATTAAACCACAAGCTGTCACCAGGTTATTTTTTTCCTATTTATATGTTTCATCACAAGAAAAGAATGAACAGAAAAAAAAAAGAAAAGTTCAATGAGAAAATAACGATAATAAAAGAAAGAAACAAAAAATTGTTATTTCTGTTCCAAATGAATGAATGATATTTCAATGCAATTCTTGAAATTGTGTGGGGGCGTTAAAATTGGTTTGGTGAAACACACAAATACGCCCAATATATAATGATAATGATTTCAATTAAAAACAATAATAATAATGATGATAATAATAAAAAAAAAACAAAACGGAAATCTAATTTACTGCCATAGCCATTAAACCATGCAACCATCATCATTTAATATATTATCATCATTATATGACACCATCCATATACAGAATATTCATTGTTTACACAAAGATTCTTTCTTTCATCATTATCATCATATAGCAAAAATAACCACCGCCATTATGACCATCATCATCATCATCATCATAATGAACTAATGGCTGAATAAACAAAAATAAAAACGAAAGAAACCACAAAACAAAACAAAACAATTCACAATTCAATTCACAATATCTTTTCTTTTCTTTGTTCAAATCGATGATTCGTATTGAGTTTCTTGCGTTCTTATTATTATTATTTGCCTGTTTGATTCTGCCCTCGTTTCAACGATTCATTCATTCATTCATTCATCCATCATTTTATTTTATTTGGTCAAACTTTTTGACCATTGCATATATATATGTTTTCTTTGATATTCGTTTTGATATATAAATAACCAAATCAAAAAACAAATACAGCAAGCCAAAAAAAAACAATATTGAAGTTGGAAAAAAATATATATCCATTTGTTGTTGTTGTTGTTGTTGCTATCATTTTCTGATCAATCAAATGAAAATGGTTTTATTTTGTTTTGTTTGCATGGCCAAAAATAAAATAGTCAACAAATAATGGATTTTATCATTGATATTTGTTGTTGTTGTTGTTGTTGTAGGAATCAAGTGATTTTAACAACAACGAAAAATTGATATTTAATAAAGTCAAATATATTAATATTCTTGGAATAAGATAAGTGAATAGATTTTTTTTTCATTCAGAAATTTAATTAAATCAAAGAAAATTCCCGAAAATCTCACCATCATCAACAACAACAACAACAACAACAACAGAATTTGAAATGATCCGAAATGACAATTTTCAACAACAACAAAAAACAATATTCTTTCAATGGAAATAAGTGACAAATT